CTGCCAGAAATACTCACTAGAACACAAAAAGTGTCATCATCTGCTGCGGAAAATAGAGGGGGAAAAAGAAAGAAAAGAAAAGGAAAGGAAACAAAAGGAAAGGAAGGGAAAGAAAGAACTAAAGAAAGAAAAGAAAAGAAAAGGAAAGGAAATGAAGGGAAAGAAAGAACTAACAAAAGTGGAGAAGTGAAGCTTAATAGAGGATGACAGAGTCTTATTAAACAAACAGTTTGGGATTCAGAGAAGAGACTTGGAAGAAGCGCGGCATCATCTCAAGAGGACTCTGTGACTTTAAAAGCTTTGGAGTCGCTTCCAGCTGACTGCCACAAAGGAGCGCATTGAGGACTAAGCCTATTTCAGTACAAGATTTATTGTGATAAATGCAATGTCATAAATTGCTTAGGGTCCCTTAGGAGCCAAATATGATCTAAAAAATACTTCCATCAGATATTTTAATCACTAAACATTTTGTTTTTTTAAGCTGTAGTCATATTTCCAAATTTTGTACAAAAATTGGCTCTCCTTCCCCCAGAGTGCACACTTCAGGTGCAGCTACTGATACTGATAAGAATTCAGCTCAAACAAGAAGCCTCAACTTTTCTCTTCCTACATCCAACATGATGTGCCTGATGCAGAACTGCATCAGCTTCGCACTCAGTAACTGCTATGGAGAAAAAGACAGTTAAAAGTAACAAATTCATTGGGGACAAAATACAGTTGACAAAATCTGCCAAAACTGATCCAAAAAACTCACTCTTGACTGACAATTGTCATGCGGGTCACTTCAGGACCATAACCTGTTCAAGTAATGTGGACAGCCAATTGACAGGCCACAACATGGGTGCTCACAGTGAATATAAGCATGGAATGGTTGTTTTTGTCCAGAGGAAATTAAATGTATTCAAATAAGATGACCTTGTCCTCTAAGAGAGAAAGCCAACATTATTTACTTAGACTTCTTTTTATATTCTGTTTGTATTAGTTCAGCCCAATTCTGAAGTCAGTCAGGGTGACCAATTTTGGAGTTAAAATCTGGCCTAATCCATGCAGTGTCTATCTGGTCTAAATCTCCAGTATGTAGGGTTCACCTAGCAGTGAAATGGCAGATT